GGTCTGTTCCTGGGTGGTACCTGGGTGGTCTCAGTCACTTAGTGACTCCGTACCTAGGTCAGGATTGCATGGTAAGAGGGATGAATTGGTGGCTGTGATGTGGGAAACAGGATAGACAAAACAGCATTGATTGCTCTGTTGTTCCTGCGTGCTAATTGTGCTTATTAGTGAACAAAGCGCTTCCGTTTGAGCAGTCAGCATTGCAGATGAGACCACAGACACTGAGATACGGAGATGACTAACAACCGGCAAGCAGTGCTGGGAGGAAGCAGCTGATTGGCTGAGTACCGTCAGGTTGCTAGGAGACGGCTTCGTTCGTGCTTCTCTCCTTCCTTTGTCCCTTGTTCTGGGACCTTCTCAGTCTGTGGCTTTGTGCTCCTGTTAGTGTGACCCTGAAGTCAGCAAGGATCCTTGCAAATGTACAGAGGCGTCCACGTTAGGGACCCCAGTGCTTCAACCCCCTCGGAACGGCAAAGCCTTCTTTGGGTCCAGATGAGAATGTTGACAGAGTATGCAGAAGACGCCCACGACAGCTTTACCCCTCCACCATGTTTACGTCCTGAAGATCCTGCGTCCCTGCAGACTCTGCTCCTACCGAGATTAACTAAGCCTGTTTCCCGTGTCAGCTTTATATACTAAGCCTGCCTCCTTATGTATCTACACGCATTAGATCTCCTTCCCTGTTCAGCTGTATGTAATAAACACATGGAACCGGAGGAGCAGAGTGGTCTGTGGTTTCTCCATTCAAGAGCTCAGAACACCTTATCCCACCCCCGCCCGCCTCTTTGTGTGCCCCCTTTTCACTCCCACATTGCCTCTAGTCAGGGTTCAGGAATCCAGGCTGTGTGAGGATGAGACACTTCCTCACCTACTCATCTCAAAGAAGTCAGTCCTTCCTCTTCACACGTTAATCCACTACACATTCAACACCTGGCTGGGTTTTCACCAAACCAAAAAGTTTCTGAACTAGCATTCACCTTCACCAAGGGCAATGCAAGTTTCTCAGTGTTAGATTCAATTCTTAAATGCTCTGTTGCAGATGTGATTGTCTAAGACAGCAACGTTCTCCAGACAAAACTATAAACCATGTCTGTTGGTTGCAGAGGAATTGGCCAAAGAGCAATGTATGCCCAGGTCAGGGGATAGGGACTTGATTTTGATCTGGCAGAGAGGTGCCCAAATTTTGTATGAGAAAAAGATGCTCTGTATGGAATATTCCTTTATGCTATGGAACATATGTTGCTGTGATTGTTTTAATTAAGAAGCTGCCTGGCCAATTGCGGAACAGGATAAGGTTAGGCAGGAGAGCCAAACTGAGAATCCTGGGAGGAAGAAGGGCAGAGAATGGAGTCTCAGGACAGACATAGAGAAAGCAAGATGTGTACAAAATGAGGTAACAAGACATGAGCCACATGGCAAAGCATAGATAAGAAATACAAGTTAGATTAAATGTAAGAGTTAGCTAGTAAAAAGCCTGAGCTATTGGCTGGGCATTTATAATTAATATTAAGGCTTTGTGTGGTTACTTGAGAGAGGCTTGACAGAAACTTCTGCCTACAACTCCAGATAATATTTATTAGATGATTTGTGTGTAGAGGTTGTGTGTATGTGTGCATACATTTGTGTATGTTCAGGTGCTTGCTTATGTGGAAACTGGAGGCCAACATCATAGTGTCTGCTGCTGTTGCTCCCTGCGATGGCTCATCTCGGTGGCCAACTCGACTACATCTGGAAATAACTACAAGGCAAGCAACTGGGCACACCTGTGAGGAATTCTTCTTGACTGGATCGTTGGTGGTAGGGAGACCAACCTCAAATCTGGGCCACGCCTTCTGTTAGCCGCCTACATAAAAGGACTTGGAAGAAGGAAACATTTTGCCTGCTTGCCCTCCTTCTTGCTGGCAAAGTCATCAGACCTCTACTGAGGCAGTCCTTTATCTTGAACCTGCTCCTTTGGGATTCCAAGGTAAACCAAAGATGACTTAAACATTCAGCCTCATGCACCAGGTAACTACTGGATTCTTGGGCTCTCCACTGGGAAACAGCCACTGTTGGACTAGCTGGACCACTGCCTGTCAGCCATTCTAATAAATTCCCTTTATAGATACGTGTTGTTCATTCTAGTAGCTCTGTTCCTCTAGAAAGCCTTGACTAATACGCTCTCCATATTATTTTCCTGAGGAAAGGTCTCTCGCTGAATGCCCTAGCACAATCTCTGTTGCTGTGATAAACCCCACAACTCAAAGCAATCTGAGGAGGAAATGGGTTTATTTCATCTTAGAGGTTACAGACAAATTACTGAAGGGAGTCAGGGGCAGGGACTCGAGCAAAAACCATGAAGAAAAGTTGCCTACTCTTTTCTCTAGCATCTGCTCTGCTTATCTGTTGAAGGATGGTACCACCCGCACTGGACTGGGGCACCTTACATCAATTAGCAATTAAGAAAATATCCACCGGGCAGTGGTGGCACACATCTTTAATCCCAGCACTCTGGAGGCAGAGGCAGGTGGATCTCCTTGAGTTCGAGGCCAGCCTGGTCTACAAGAGCTAGTTCCGGAACAGGTTCCAAAGCCACAGAGAAACCCTATCTTGAAAAAACAAAAAACAACAACAACAAAAAAAAAAAAAGAAAGAAAGGAAAGAAAATATCCCTACAAATATTCCCTAGGCCAATCTGATCAAGGCAATCCCCCAGCTGAGACTCCCCCAGATAACTCTGGGCTGTCAGTTGGAAGATGTTGCTAACTAGGAGACTGAACTTAAAGTTCAACTGTGTTTGGCTAGGCTATCTGGTCAACCTCCATGGTCTATCTTGTTTCACTAACTCCAGCCCTGGAGTCAGGGCTATGCAAGATGCCACGCCTGGCTCTTGTGTCGTGCGGAGACCCAAATTCAGATTTTCATATCTAGAACTGTATCCACTGAGCCATCATCTGCCCAGCCCTTACTACACTATTTTAAGGACACATTTAGAATAATTTTTGATAGTGGTGGTTATTCGACACCTATAAAAGCATAATTCTAGGAATAGATGTACGTAAATTACCAGAAACGCTCGCAAAATATTCAGTGATCACGAGCTTTGTTTTCAGAAAAAGTTATTTCCGCTTCCCCCAGATCAGCATAGCATTTTAATTTTTGCTTCTGTGATCAAGTATTTTATATAATCCTCCATACCTTCAACTGTGATTAGTGATTTGTCTCTACATGACTGCAATTGAAATATACATTACTGCATCTCGAAACTATTATCCAATATTTGGGAATTTGTTGTTCATAACAGCTTTGCGTACAGCCACCAAAGATAGAAATAAAAAAAAAAAAGAAAAGATAAACAAAAACGGCAGAACACAGGCCATGGAATAACACTTAGCCTTAGCAGGGGGAAATGCTGACATCCATGTAACATGGATGAAGCTAACATGCTAAGTGAAATTAGCTGCTCACAAAATAGACACAAAGATTTGACTCCGTTTAATTGAGGTAATCTGAAGTAGCCCCGCCCATAGAGACAGGGAGTGGAATGGTGTTTGTTGAGGGTCTGGGGAGGGGAGGGACTTTAATTAGGCCACACCCCTGAAGAACACACGCGCGCACATTTCCCCCATCCCCCCCTACTCCCCCCCCCCGGCA